AACTGAAACTATGAGTTCAAAGAATGTTTCAAGAAATTCATATTATTAAACTTTAGAGACAAACACTCACAAAATAGAAATAATGAAAAAATAATGTTATTTTTCAAATATTTTTTTGAAGTTTGTTATTTGGTATTTTCATCAATAGAGTTCCACACGTTTGCTCAATATATCTAATATTAAATTTGCCATACTTAGTTCTTATTTTTGGAAGGGAATATGAGGATCTTTAGGAAGTATTTAGCAATTTGCCTGAATGGAAATTATACAAACACTGCGTTTTGAAGGAAAAAAAGATCGGGGAATTTTAATGATCTAGATTAAGTTTGATAAAATTGGACTTGTGTGACCATTATAGGACTGAAAGCGACATAAGTCGCACGAATCTTTTCTGAAGGACAAATATCGATTTAATGGTAGAAAAATAGGTGCTGTCCCGCACAATTATACCATTTATTAAAAGAGAATAAATCTGTGTATAATAAATATTAGTACTAAGAATATTATAAGATAAAAAATGGCGGATTTTAGACATTATACCAATACTTTGGTTCATTCTTTTAGCAATGTGAGATATGTGTAATAGGTGTAATAGGTTTTATTAATCCATCTTTAGATAAAAAAATATACAATGGATTTACATTTAAAATATTTGTGTATAGTATGTACATCGTTAAAAAAATTACATCAATCAATCAATTAATGAACACGACCTAGGGACAAACGACTTCTTGTGTTTATCCGTGTTTGATATTTTTTTAAATGTAGATTTACTTCTAAGATTATAGTTATGAATCTTTGGACTAGATAAAAATACTCGGCATGGATAATCAGTGTCTGATTGAATTTTCGCAAGTTTTCTCTTATACAGACACTTGAGCTTTCCAATTTAGATGACAATCTATCATTACACCAGAATAGTTAATATTGTCAGTTTGTTTAAGATTCTGATCTTTCAATGTTAATTATTAATTATTGCAAATGGAAGAATTTTTGGAGGTGGACAAAAGACGACAAAGCTAGCTAGACTTCTCAATATTCAACTTTGTGCATACAAGTGTATGCACAAAGCCATTCATAAACATGCATGATTAACTTGAATAGTGACAGTTGATTCTAGTTGAAACAAAGTATTGTTAGCATAAAAAATATATACAGTTCTAGCTATGAACGAAAATGTTTACTGGAGAACACCACCTAACTTGCGCCCAACATTTGAGCTATTACCGCCGATTAATAATATAGATCGCAGCATTTTGGATGAAAAGGATAAAAATGATAATTCCATATACTATTTCTTACATATTTATCATTTTAGATATCAATGAATGTCTAGCCAACCCATGCGACACGAACGCTAGCTGTTATGACTCAGATGGTTCATCCATGTGTATTTGTAACAGCGGTTTTACTGGAGATGGTTTTGCCTGTACAGGTAAGGTGATTAAATTTCATTATGTAAAGATTTCGCCATTTAAAATTCACGACGCGTCTAGAGAAGACGCGCTAGAAAGGCTTGGTAACTAGCGCGGCTTGGTAACTTGTGTAATTCCAACACAGGAGGCCCAGGCTCGATTTGCCCGCGCCCGCCTGAGCCTTCCTTATAACGAGGGAAGGAAGGAAACATTGAGACCAAAATAGCCCAGACTGGCATATGTCACACGAAACTATCGATTTTTCGCCTTTAATGCATTTCTTTCACGATTAATCGATATCCCCTGCAAGAATGATACCGTATAACTCTCAAAACAACGATGCTTTAATCAAAGAGCTTAAATTCGCTCTGAAATCCGTGAGGGAATAACAAAATTCGCCCAAAATATATCCGCGTGCCGGGTTTGCTGGATAAAAAGCGGAAGTCGTTGAACAACTCAAAATACACTCAACCCTGATTGGACAACGAAAATCAACAAACATTTCAAATTTCTCTCCACTGGCACTGGGAAGGGGGACAGTACTTGGAACAGTACTGTAATAATTTGATTATTTGAATCGAAACAATTCACAAACGTTATTATACTGACTAAACAAATATTTAGATTTGCACTGGTTTCACCCCGCGGACAACATTTGTTAATTGTTTTGATTCAAATTTATATTGCATTACTGACTACAGAAATTTGAAATGTTTGTTGATTTTCGTTGTCCAATCAGGGTTGAGTGTATTTTGAGTTGTTCAACGACTTCCGCTTTTTGTCCAGCAAACCCGGCACGCGGATATATTTTGGGCGAATTTTGTTATTCCCTCACGGATTTCAGAGCGAATTTAAGCTCTTTGATTAAAGCATCGTTGTTTTGAGAGTTATACGGTATCATTCTTGCAGGGGATATCGATTAATTGTGAAAGAAATGCATTAAAGGCGAAAAATCGAAGATAGTTTCGTGTGACATATGCCAGTCTGGGCTATTTTGGTCTCAATGTTTCCTTCCTTCCCTCGTTATAAGGAAGGCAAGGCGGGCGCGGGCATATCGAGCCTGGGCCTCCTGTGATTCCAACGCGTAGTCGACGATTCTGCGACGGGATTTTGTCAATTTCACCAGGGCGCTATAAAACACGGGCGGTGAAACGCGCTAATAAATGACCGTGCTACGTGTGATGCACATTAGGATTGGCGCGAGCGCGCTTTCTCTAAAAAAATCAGAAAATCGCGTACAAGATGGCAACAAAAATATGTAAACAAACAAACGAGAAAACAAAGGATTTAAATGCTAAGTAATTATGTTTCATTAATTAAAATTTGAAATATTATTTAATAAGTTATATCACATGTAATAGCTTGTGTTGTTTGTTACTGAACACTCGTTGAAAGAAAATATCACGGCAAAAATTTTACTCGAGCGATGAAAATATTTGCAAAATTTAAAGCGCGGACGTATTTAAAATAGTGTTTTCTCCTCGTTGAGATAGGTTGAGGTAAATTTGAACACACCAAACTATAGACATTTAACTTGGCTTTATGTCTCAAGTAAAATTGAACGGGGCTTTTTTGGGCTTTTTTCATAAAACGGAGATATCTTGCAGCCTTTATAGTTTTCCGTATACTCCACACAACAATAGATTTGCGACTACAATACTTATTTATGCAGATAATACGATATTTAAACAACACAAATTTTCAATTATCAATTAAACGAAACACTTCCTGCCTCAAATACATACTACATATAAATGTTTATTGAAGTATCTAGTATCAGCTTATATTGCTAGAATTGGTATCTATTTCACTTGCAAAATGAACGAAGCGATTGTTGAGGAAAAGACATGCATTTTGAACTCGATTTTGACGACATTTTTTCTTTTTTGACAAAGCGCGGACGTATTTAAAATAGTGTTTTCTCCTCGTTGAGATAGGTTGAGATAAATTTGAACACACCAAACTATAGACATTTAACTTGGCTTTATGTCTCAACTAAAATTGAACGGGACTTTTTTGGGCTTTTTCATAAAACGGAGATATCTTGCAGCCTTTATAGTTTTCCGTATACTCCACACGACAATAGATTCGCGACTACTATACTTATTTATGCAGATGATACGATATTTAAACAACACAAATTTTCAATTATCAATTAAACGAAATCACTTCCTGCCTCAAATATATACTATAAATCTTTATTGAAGTATCTAGTATCAGCTTACATTGCTAGAATTGGTATCTATTTCACATGCAAAATGAACAAAGCGATTGTTGAGGAAAAGACATGCATTTTGAACTCGATTTTGACGACATATTTTCTTTTTTGTCAAAGCGCGGACGTATTTAAAATGGTGTTTTCTCCTCGTTGAGATAGGTTGAAATAAATTTGAACACACCATAGTTAATGGAGCAAGATGGTTTGGAAGCTCGTTTACTTCCGGTATTATGTTATGTTATTCAATTTTGTGGTCACATGACCACGAACGACTACGGCGTTGTGACCAATATGGCGACTATTAGCGAAGAAGGAATGCAAACCATGGGAGAAATGTTTGAAAGTGGGGAAGCTTTAGCGGCAGAAAATAAAAAGGCAGAGCTTGATGTGTTAGTTGATGTGATAAACGAACACTTGGACTATTTTAATGAGGACAAGGACTTCGAGAAAGAGGTTGAAGATGCCGTTCAGGAGATTGAAATACCACCAAAACATCCGTGTCCGAATTGTACGAAAATATGCAAATCAAAAGGCGGTCTCACTCGTCATATACGATCAAAGCATACGCTCCTTGAGACAAATGATGGCAAAGATGACAACAGCGCTAGCACTGCAACCAAGCCAACCATTTCAAAAGCGATTGTAGAGGATTTGTTTAAAAAAGCTAACTCTAAAATCAAGGATAATTTATATGGGGAGGAAATCGTTATTATTTGTAAGAATCTAAAGCCATCTTCGTTTTGTGTTGACGTTCTCGATAAACTTCATCGACGTTTCATCAAGAAATCGAATCAAGATACTTTGGTAAGTGAACTATACAAACTCTTGTCGAAAGAACCTGAGAAACTTGTCGACAACCAACCAACTGATAAACGGTGGTCAGTCGAGCAAATTAGAATCGCTGTGAATCTGTTGTTTATCCATTTACCCGAGTTACTCGTTTTGGCAACTTGCAAGAGCCAAACTAGTGAACAAACTAAAGATATACCTGAAGTGAATGAAAGGGAACATGGTCCCCTTTCTTACTTGATTGGATCAGTCATTTCCAAAATGTTCAGGACAAGCAAATTTAGAAAGAAATCCATGTTAGAAAGTACATTAACAAATAAAGAAGAACTTCAGGATCTGCTGCAATCAATGAAACGACCTGACAATGAATATATTTTATCACTTTCAAGAGGAGGACTGTGGACTCCATGTGACGATTTAATTGCTATTGGGTTTGAAATAGAGAAAACATTTCGATATAAAACTGTTGCTCATGATGTTACAAAACCTATTCCAATTTCAGAATTACGGACTAATATACTAGAAAATCCAAAAGTGAAGAGCCTTTGGAGCAACATCATACAAGAATGCCCTTACTTGATATCTCACGATTGTTCGAAAGTTTGCCTTGAGAACATAACCTTTTTATATTTAAAAATTCGAGCATTCTCCTTTTCGAGAGATTTAATTAATAAATATAGAAAACAAAACAGTTCAAATAGCAAGAAGGCCTTAAGGAAAACTCTACAACAGAAATCAGAGGTCAATCCTGAATAGTTATAACTAGGGATGTGCCAGATACGTTCTGGATTATAGACGGGTAAACTTTGTTTACATGGTTTGAGACAATTTGCCTGCAGGCCTGAAATGCACCAGCAACTTATTTTGTATAGTCTAATTATGCAAACATCTAATAGAACAACTTGTGTGTGTTAAAGCTTTCATGTCCAAGCATCTTGGCAGGCAAAATATATCAAATTGTGTAAACAATGTTTATCCTTCTATTTGGTAAAGTTTTGTCGACCATAAAACTACCTTATTTATAACTAGGTTTTAAAACTGTGTGCAATTAAATTGAAATAAGTGGAGTCCAAGAATAAACACACAATTGTTATTTCTTTTTTGTTTTTTTGGCTTTGTTCAGAGGCTCCTCAATGATGTCGTTCCACCTGGATTTTTCTGCACTGCGTTTACCAGTGTTACCAGCTTTGATAGGCACAATGTTGCGTTGGACATCAAGGGCTCGATCATTATATGCAAACTGTGATGCATCGGGATTATCCGACCTTCTGCCCCTTTGCCTCTGATTTCCGAAATATTCTTCCAACGGGTCTTGCTGGAAGCGTTCTGTCAAAACGTTATCAACACCTTGGGAAAGGAGGAACTTGACAGTCTCGACAGTTGAATGCACAGTGATTTGAAGGCCTTCATAAGTTTGTTGCAAAATGAACATCTTAGCTTGAGCTGTTGGTAGGAAATTTCCAGGACGAGTCTCGACAGCTTTTTTCCAGTCATGAAAGTACTCGAGGAAAGTGTTTACTAACCATTCAAACCTTTTATCATCCTGTGATCTATATGGTCCCAGGAGTACATTCCGTTTACAGGTAGCCTCATTGTATGCACGAACATTTAAACAGTCGAAAAAGTCATTCATTAATTCACAAAATCTTGCTGTTTCATTTGCTTCTCCTTCTGGATAGCTACGGATAAGGGCTTGGGCCATCCTATTGCTAAGGATCTGTGTTATGGAAAAATAAAACAAAGCAATTAGAAACAAAGTACAGTAATACTGTAATGATCAACATATCAAATTTGATGATTCAGTGAGTGCAGTGGTTTTCATTGGACTCATAGGAATTCCTTAAAAAATACACTGCATATTTACTAACGTTTAGTAACGTTTACTAACATTTAGTTACAATCCTGATTTATACAACTTTATATAATTATATTTCTTGGCAAGCAATGTCATCACAAACTATTGCTTGAGCCACATGCTTTAATATGATATATAAAACTGTATGGATTAACATTTGTTGTTTAGAAATATAAACATTGTCAATTTCATGCTCATATTTCACTTTGGAATTTGGATTAACAATTTTAATAGATCACTTCCGGTTTTGAAACAAAGATTGTCCAATCACGTTAGCACCTAAAGTTGCTTGTTTTGACAACATGAGAACAAACTGGAGAAGAAATATATCTGTTATTTCTAAAATGGATTGTTGTTTTCGACCCATTTGTGACTTGCCCTTGAAAATATAGACAAGATGTTCATGAGGACAGGAGACGTATTAGTTTGAAAACGAATTATTAAGAAGCCAAGGCACTTTCTTTCCTGGTATGATTTAAATCTATACTATTTTAAAAATATAAACAAATCTAGAAATCACCTGGGCAGCAAGATTTACTCTCATCTTTGAATAAGATGTTAACATGATATGTTCAATTGTTAGCTTAGGAAGTTGGTGTAGCCCCAGTTCCAGATCAGAATAATATAAATCTGATATATAGTTCCACAATAAAAATTGATCATTGTTCCACATGCACCTTGATTTCAAACCAGAACCAGAATTAAGCAAGCAGTTTCTAGCCGTTTTTAATAGATGTGGAGCATCAGCAAAAAACCAAATCCACTTTCCTGGGGCAAAGAGGTTTTTTGTTTTATACACAACTTTCTGGTTGTTAAGTTTTTCACCAATATAAATGTGGAGTTGATAAAATTTGCGGTTTGGTGAAGCCCCATCACTGACTGCAGCAATAACATTCAAGTTTGCTTTAAGTTGTAATATAGCAACACCACGCCAAAAAAGTGGCATTAATTGATAGGAGACCACATCTCGGGTGAAAAAGTAACCAAGCATAAACTGCAATTTAGTGGTTATTCCCCTGACATAGAAAGCAAGTACATGGGTAGCTGGTTCAATTTTATCAAATGTTGAATAGTTGATATCTGGATCACCGAGATCCACAAATCCAATCAGGCGTCCAGAATGTTTATCAAACACTAAATTACATTTAATCTTCATCTCATCAAACATGACAACAATCCACCTGTCTTTATCCAGGAAACCCTTTGTTCTGGAAATCAATGACTTGATGTTCTCAGGCAAGTACCCTGCTCCTGGTTTAAAGTTGTTTCTGTAGGATCTCAAAGTTCTGGAACTAGGTAACTGCATTGTTCCAGAATCTCTCAATTCTTGGTAAACAATAGGCGACTTTGAATAAATAGACAAACAGAACCGTATAAAATGTGGATGCCACCTGTTACCAAAGTTTGATTGTTGATTCAGTGCTTTCTTCTGTTGTTCCCATACAAGTTTCATGTGTGGAGTTGCTTCTAATGATGTGTTAGTGATGATACTTGTAAGTTCTTTCTCCAAACCAGTTTCTATTCTAATACCATGATGTTTGATCTCATTCTCCATTCGTTGTACTCTCCTTTCGAGTTGTGCACACTTCAGCTTGGCTTCTTTCAAATTCACCCTTGTGTCTTTTACAGTTGCAATTAGTTGTTCTTTGGAAAGGCATGACAGTGGTGTTTTACACTTAACAGAAGCCACATTGAAGTTACCTACATTGCTGTTTGATTCTCGACTGCACGATTCGCATTGCAATTGTTTACTGTCACTTAGTATGGATGAAACCAGAACACGACATGAAAGCGCACAACAGTATTCAACTGTACGATATTGTGGAGAAGAGTCATTTGGTAACAGGGGAACAAGTTGTGTTTTCACTGATTTGCTTGACTTCAGGGAAAATAGAGTTCCTTTGCAAATACCCAGAGATACAATTTCGTTACAAAGCGTCTTAAAATTACAGCACTGCAAAGAACGCTCGTTTGAAACGTATATGGGATGATCATTGGGCAATGCCCAGCCATAAACAAGAACAGTATAATTAAGAGTAGATTCGACACGTACAGAAAACTTTGCAATCAAGTACTCACTTTCTTTAAACTCAATAACAGTGTTATTTCCTTCTTTGAACCAATTCCAACCTTGAAAATATGGGTACCTTCCAGCTTTTTTCAAATATGCATCGAACTTATCAAGAGAGGCATATATAATTGTAGTTTCTTGAGAAACATGCCTTGGAGCTGGTTCTTTTCTCGGCGCACTAGTGAAGCTTGTGCTAAGATGATCGAAGCTTTTGACGGGGAGATTTTCTGTTGGAATTGAACCAGTTTGGAGGGACTTCCTTTTGGAAAAGTTTTCAATGTACTCCTCTTTAAAATGACTCTCACAAATATGTATGTTGTTGTTTTCGATCTGTGTCTTCAAGTTCGCATCCAACTGTCTCGTTCGTAATATCGCGTTAATCCAACCGTTTCGTGCTTCTTCCTTACGATGAAAAGTAAATTCGCTGTCTGAATTACGAGGAACTGGAATTTGAAACAAACTCACGTTTTTGTACCGCCTACTGTGAAAACAATTGTAAAAAGCGCAATTGGGCATTCGTGTATCAAAATTACTACGATATTATATTATCATATTTTGGCGCTTTTTCGATTGTAGTCATTCGTCGTCACATGACCTTAGAATTTAATCGGTTAACATAATAATTACGTCATCGCAAAATAGGGGAAGCTTCCAAACCATCTCGCTCCATTAACTATGACGCCACACACAGGCTCTACGCCACACACAGGCTCTACGCCACACACAGGCTCTACGCCACACACAGGCTCTACGCCACACACAGGCTCTACGCCACACACAGGCTCTACGCCACACAGGCTCTACGCCACACAGGCTCCACGCCACACAGGCTCCACCTTCTGGTTGCACCACAGGAACAGGAGGCCGAATAGGTCTCTGAGCCATAGATGATGAACAACGAAAACTTGGGTATAAACTCTTTGCACGAATGCTTCTCCATGTGGTGATCAGCACAAAACAAGCTGTATTAGAAATATATGTGAAGCCAAATTGATTAGTATGTAGATGGTAATATTTTATATTTTGACAGCGACTGGACGCATTTTAATTAATGTTCTAATTGAAATGTTTTAACATTAAAATGTTCTAATTTCGATACAGAAATCTTTCCCATTACATTCATTGTGATTTATTCTAATAAACGAAATGACTCATGAATATATTTGGACATCTTACAATAAGAATGAAAAGAAATCTAGGCAGCTTTGAGTTTTTGACAGGTGGGTGTGTCTCAAAGGGGCGTTTTACAAAATTATAAGGCATGCAGGCAGGCGTTTCTTATTACGTCCATGATCATATTATATTATTCCCATCTGAATAAATGCCTGTTCACAGGCTAAAGAGGCCCTCATACCTGTTGTTGATTGGGGCAAAATACTGGTTGGTGGGGGAAATCTGATGCTAGATTTAAAAAAAACTTCAAGGTATTTCGTATGACGTTTCTCTATATTTTAAACCGTATTAAACACCAACTGGAAAGAAAAACAAGAGCTGAAGACCCGATTGTACCCATGCTAAGGCTTGGTCTATGCCTTTAGGCTGTGGGCCGTTGTGTGAAAAAGTGCTTAGAAAATTGTTCTGCAAGGGCTTGACAGACATCTTGAACAATTGAACAAACAGTAGAAACACCCAGTCCCACCATTTCGGCAATTGTGTAGTGGTAATCACCTCTTCCCAATCGATAAAGTAGGCCATTGGCGAAAATTGCTTCGTGGCAACCCCCTGGGGAATAGATTTTCTGTGGTTCAATGCATAGTATCATAGATGCTCAATCACCAGAAAAAGTTCCCAAGCAGAAAACTTGCCAAACACCGAGAAAGTGGGTGATCAGTGATTATCCTCTATTAAATTGTATTACAGCAAGAAAATGTGAAATTTTGTATTCAATTACAACAAAAATGACTTGCATCATCAGAAAGCTTACACAAATCTACATACAAGACATTTAAACAGTTTTTTATAGCTCAAATTGTTTTCCAGTTATACGCTGTCAAAAACACGTTTTTGACCTAGTACCCAGTCCTTATTGTGAATTTTTGGTCCAAATTTTGGTTATTTTCACATTTAAAACAGCAATAACTGAAAGACTACTTGAAGGATCAAAAAACTGTTTAAAAGCCTTATATGCGGTTTATTCTAAGCTTTCTGATGATGTAAATAATTTTTATTGAAATTGAATACAAAATTTCACATTTCCTTGCTGTAATACAATTTAATAGAGGATAATAACTGATCACCCATTTTCTCGGTGTTTGGCAGGTTTTTTGCTTGGGAACTTTTTGTGGTAATTGGGCATCTATGGTACTATGCATTGAACTACAGAAAATCTATTCCCCAGGGGGTTGCCACGAAGCAATTTTCGCCAACGGCCTACTTTATCGATTGGGAAGAGGTGATTACCACTACACAATTGCCGAAATTGTTGGAACTGGGTGTTTCTACTGTTTGTTCAATTGTTCAAGATGTCTGTCAAGCCCTTGCAGAACAATTGTGGACAGACACAATATCTAGACATATGCCACAATCACAAGAGGAAGTTACGAAAAAGATCTTGGATATGGGGAAGAGTTCTGGCAGTTTCCTTGCTGCTGGGCTGCAGTTGACAGCTGCCACATTCCCATAAAATGACCCTCTGGAGGTCTAGAGGCATCGAAAGGGTACCAATAACTTTAAAAATTTTTACTCTGTTCTTATGGGATTAGTTGATTCACATTATAGATTCATATGGGGCAGTTGCAGTTTTTCAGGAAACTCTCATGATTTTATAATTTTCCAGTTGACTGTCTTGTGGGTTCAATCCAAGAAAGCTACATTCCTGAAATGGGTAGGGCTGTAGGAACAGTGAATGTGCCTCCATTGATTGTGGGAGATGCAGCTTTTCCTCTTCAGACATGGCTCATGAAACCGTATACTGATGCAGTTTTAAGCCCTCAGCAAAAATACTTCAATTACCAAATGAGCAGGGCCTGTATGGTTACAGAAGTTGCATATGGGCAGCTGAAGAGAAGATGGAGGGTTCTACAGGGATCTGGTAAGCCTTGCTACACTTGCATGCATGATTCTACACATTTGTATTGAACAGGGCGATTCACTTTCAAAGAAACTCGATCTTACCTTTAACCCAGACACTCTAGGTAAGCGAAACCGCAAATAGATCAGAGATGAAAAAAAATGAAACAAAAGATGAAAAAGAAGAATGGATGAACAAAGAACGACTGGCAAAGAATGATGCACTTTGTCAAAAAGTGTTGTTAGAGAAAGAAACTGGAAAAGTTTCTTGACATGGACAAAAACTGAAAACGAGATTAAATGGTTGTTTGTTACCTTATATAAACCAACACCCTCTCCCTCAAGCCATGCTATTACCTATAATTACAACTTTTGATATGTTTTTTCCCCATCACAATGAATTCCACTGGCTATGGGCTGTGAACATGTAATGGTGCTATAGCTAACATCTGAATTTTGATATGCTGCAGGTTGGGTATAACTACCAATTGCAATATTCCAAGTTGGGTGACTTGTTGTGGATGGTGGGGGTCCCTCTCCACATGGCATACTAGCAAAAGATGGTAACTGCTTTGGAATTTGATATGGTGTGTTACTTTGCCTGAAACCTTGCATGAGACCAACCAGTTTCAATTCATGGTCATCCGACTTGTCCATTTCGTCCCTCATGAATGCAATAAGATCTTTAGTTGGATCGTTTTTCAGTGTGTCTTTTACAACATTTATTGCCTCAATAGCAGCTTCATTCAGTTTGTCACTTGCTTTTACGTTTTGCTTTTTCTTAACTGGGATGAAGAGTCCTTTCCTTACCATCATCATTACTAGTATCTCTGGTTGACTGTTTCTCCAAATGAGGAAGGCTCTAGGGCTAATTAAGGCTTGCATGAATATCTTGATTTTACAAGGGCAAAGAGTGCATTAAACCACTTTCCAAACCCATGCTCTTCTTGGAATATTTTAATCCCAGTTGCTGTTTTCATAGTTAGGGCTGCTTGCTTACACTCACTGACATATTTCGTAAATTTGGTTCTTAACTGGGGCACAGTGAAATGAGTGAATTGAATTACTTCACCTCTTTCAGCACTTCTCTCTGTCAACTCGATAAGAATTTTCTCATACATTTCTCCATTTTTCTGATTTTTGTGTTGGTGAAAACCAATTTCTTTTGGTAGTAATTGTTGTTTACTATGATATGAACAAAGTTGTTAATTGCCTCAACACTCCAAGTAGATTTTCTACCAGGTTACTTCTTTTCTTTTCCCTTCTTGTATGATCCTCCTCTTCCTTGTCTGATGATCCATCATTGACCAATTCTTTAAGTCTAAAAGATAAAATAGAGTATAATCTGTATTTGTTTTAACACCAACAGGAATTCAAACTCAGAAATGCCCAACTGCCATACTTGCATGTTTAGTCCTATTTTTATTCCTGGTTTACAATTCTTTGCAACAGCTTACCCCTGTTTCACACCTACACATCAACGGTAAGATGTTACTTTGTTTGAAAGGATCGGTTAAAATACTCAGACTGCTCTTTGTTTTTGCACTATATTTATATTTTTTTGTAAATAGTCTACTATAAAATCGAACAAATTACATAGTTAAATTAGATATTATCAAGACATATTACATAAATGAAAGGTTCCACAGTATACTAACAATTCTGGTATTCTAGCCTCTTTTCTTCTGAATTTCAATAAGTTTTTCTTTTAAACGTTTAGTTCTGACGCGAGTTCTTCCAATTAAACTATCCAAAAAAGGTCTTTTTTTCCACTTCTTGCATCCCAGTCTCCTTTGCATTTCCACACCAATCTTCTTTTAATAATCAACACAAACAAAACCAAAGTTCTCAACACTCGCCCCCAGTGCAGAAATTATTTGTGAATTATATATCAAGAAATTTTAACAATAACATAAACAAGTTTTAAATGCTGGAAAGTTTTTACACTGTTTAGTGCGGCGCTCATTAGGGGAACGTCGAATTTCAGTCCTTTTATATGACTGACTTGGTTGAATAAAATGACTGCTGAATTAAAAAGATTTCTGCTGCAGCTAATTGATTCAAACATCGAACTTTTCATGCACTTAATAGAAACATTAGATTCAGCAGATGAAAAGTTTGACGCATGAACCAAGCCTAACATTTCACAGTTTGGAATAAAACCTAAACAGTGAGCTTACCTAGTACTAGGCCTAGGGTTACAAAATCAAGGAAAATAAATTTCATAAATTGTAATAAGCAGAATGTCTGCTTTTGTTAAAAGTAAATTTTTACTGTATATTTAGGGTTTTACAGCCATTTTTGCTGTAATTTTCATTAACCAACTATAAATTATCATATCATTATAAAGGTATTATTATACTATTATAGATTATATTATTATTATCAGATCCAGAAACGAGCTCTTCGAATTATCTACCCTTCCTTTACCTATCATCAAGCGATGCTCACAGCCAACATTCCATCGTTGTACGATCGCCAAACTAGCACCCTTTGCAAGCGTCTTTTCGACTGAATGCTTGATCCCAGGGCACAAAGTAAACTCGCTTGTTCCAGCTCTTAGGGTTAACGAACACAATCTATGCCATAATAGGTGTTTTAGGGTTCCAGTTTGTAGAACTGATCGCTACCATAAGAGTTTCGTGTACAGTCTGTAGCATCATTATATGACATGAAACATTTTTAACTCTTAACTTAATATTCTTAAATCGTATGTTATTATATCACTCTAGTTATACAGTATTTCACAGTTGATAAACCATTGTAACTTCTACTTTTAATATTCTTAAATCATATGTTGCTACATATTCTTAGTTATAGTATCTCACAGTTGTAAAACCAGTGCAATTCAGTTTTAACTGCAAAATTGGTTGTTAATAAAACGATTATTATTATTATTACCAAAAACGCAGATGCATCCTCTCACACAAAAAATTGCATTGTGTTTTTGTGTCAAAACATTCAGGCATGTGACTGCATTCCTTGACGTTTTGAAATTGGTGTTTATGTAATATCGACATCTGATTGGTCCACATGTAGAGGTGTTGACATTTAACAATTATTGGGTGAGGTTGAGCACGATATGAAGAATTATCAAGCCTAAAGTTTGCCGTTATCAACCGAAGCCAAAGGCTGAGGTTGATAACGGCAAACTGAGGGCTTGATAATTCTTCATATTGTGCGAAAACCGAATTCAATAATTGTTTTATTATTTATTTAAAAAATTCAAAACAAACATTTGTATTTTATTTGTATTAAGGAAAAAAACAATTCCTTTGGCAGCCGTCGTTGCGTCATATCAATGGCGTCAGCGAGTCAATATGATTCTTGTCATCATAGTAATATGGCGCAAATGCGTCCAATTTTTTTTCATATTGACTCTTTGACATCATTTTGCTAATATGATTGTGAAAAATCCGTATTTGGTTAGCCATTGAGTTGATATGACAATTTCACAGTTGGCTGTTAGCCAATCAGAAACCAGGAATTTTTAAAATAAATAATAGCTAATAATAGTTTGACATTTAATTAACAGAATTACCAGTGGACCACTCAGATGTCGATATTCTATAAATATTGATTTCAAGCCGTGAAGGAATGCAGTCACACTGCTGAATGTTTTGACATGAAAACAGGATGTGATTTTTTGTGTGAGAAGATGCATCTGCAGTTTTGGTAATATTAGATTTATAAAAATACATAAATTTGTATTTTCATAGATTTTTCTGTGTTACATATTTGCTGTGGTAATTACCATAATTATCCCATAAGAAAGTTTTCTTACAGCTAATAAGACTGTAATTTGTAACAACAGAAAAATTACTATAAAATTTTACAGCATTTTTTTTTTGTAAAAAAACATCAATTTTTAACAGTATATATTTAACAAATATAAAACATTTTCCATGTTGATACACATTTATATCAACACGAGTAGAATTGGGAAAATGAGAAATTGTACGCAAACACAACACCCGAAGGGCGGAGTGTTTTCATACAATTTTCGAGTTTTCCCAACTTCCACGAGTGTTGATATAACTATATATCAATATGGAAAAAATGTTTTATGTGTTTTTTTATAATATAGCAATGTCAAAAGCCCGAAGGATAAGAAAAATTTCCGTGTTTACAAGCGGCGGGAAATTTCCCGTGTTGGCATTGAGTTATATCAACACGGCTCTTAGCCAATCAGCGTTCAGAATTTATATATATATATATATATATATATATATAATTCAATTTATTTTGGTTATCTAGATAAATAAAGTGCTCAATAGTAAAAATATAGCAGAGCTTATTAAATTGTCTATATCTTAAAATTAAACATCGCTACTCTGAGTTTCACGCCCTTTCTAGATGATCATCAGGCGATTTTGTTCACGATTTTGTTCTTACGTGATTGCATGGATGGATGCAATTGGATGCAATCACATAAGAACAAAATATAAATATATATATACATATATATTTATAATATAGTTACTGCCGTATATCAGCTCATATACGGCGAGTAGCGAAAAACAAGATGGCGGTCCAAAAACTACATGAGTTTTGCAAAGCAGAAAAAATGAAAATATTCACTTTGAGAAAGATAATAGTACAAGGAAAAACTCTCAAAAAAATTTGACAGGTTAGCAAAATACATTTATTCCATAGAAATTAGTTTAAATACAAGTTTTTTAAAGAATTAACCCATTCTCATCCAGTCGAAAAGTAGCAATTTCGGGTGGTGTTGTTTTAAACACATATATCTTTCAAACTATACATTGTATGGAAACAGAAATTGCATCGTTCGAAATTGCATCGTTCGAGAGAAGGAAACATGTAAATATATATAAAATGTTGCAATTATGATATAAAAAATGTTGCAATTAGGCCACATAAAAAAAATTACTTGTTTAGCGTCCCCGCCCGACCTGATAAAAGTCCCCGACCCCCAATTTATTTTATTTTTTTTTTCTTAAATCCATCCGAGTTTAGTGCAAAAACTCTCTATAAAAAAGACCGTTTTACTTGAAAAAATGGTGATTATATTCTTCTGGGAGCTATGTAATACGTTTACACAAAGTTTCCTTCCCAGAATATGCCTGTTTGCAGCTAAAGTGTTCGCGCGTGACCACCAAACGGTAATTTTCTGTTTATTAAAAACATGAACTGTATTAAAAAAACATGAACGGATTTTGAAAGAATTAAAGTGAGTTTTGACTGTGGTAATATACTGGATTTCCTGCATTTAGCAGAATTTTGTGTTGCATTTTACCGTGACGAAAAAAAAAAAGAAAAAAAAAAACCGCCCGCCCGACCTAGAAAAATTAAAATGGGTGGACGCTAAACAAGTAATTTTTTTATGTGGCCTTATGCATAAATGTATCTACCGGTTCAAATTTCAAATATGTCAAAAATTTTATGAATGTAACTGAAAGACACAGTTGTGATCTACAAGTACCTGAAGTTTCATGCATGTAGCATAAATGGAAGTACTTTTATTGAATTTTTGAATAAACTATGTAGTTGAGTAAAATTTACATTTTGTGCTCCCATGAAACAAATACCCTTATCAAAGCTAGGTCCTTTTTCATTGCTGCAACATATTATCAATACAAATTTCCAATATTTCTTACACTCCAAGGATAGTATGGCACCAAAATAAATCTGTGATACCCACAAAAGAACACTCAAATCACTATTTGCAAAATGTTTTTATTTCTACGGTTACTATATACATTCTTAGATAATCAGTACACCATTGACTTAGTTATCAGTGGCATAACCAGCCTGAAAATTTGGTCATGCTATTCAAATTTTAAATAATCATTACTCATTTCTTTAGAAATTTATTGTTTTCACAATCTAGAACATGAAAATATTTGCATATAGCATGACCAAGTGTTGTTGGGCTGGCGTCATCATTAGTAGTTATAAAAAAAAGTAATATTTTCCAAGGCAGTAATGTTTGCCCATAACTGTATACATAACTGGATTATGTGGTGAAAATATTTCCTTTTTTGCACAAAATATATATTGGACCACAAAAGACCTAAGACTGTAACCAAACTTATATCACATCACCACGTCATACCCAAATCCATGCTGCGATGAATCTCTGGACTTCTTCCTGTATAAATCTCAAAGTCGCGATATAACCATTAAGGACTGTCTGCAGCAACCCACAGATTTATCCCCCACATAGTAGGCCATCTTTCATGAACTGCCTAATCCCCAACCTATTCCTTGATTTAACAGTGTGTTCGTCAACAGCAATTTTCTGTGATGGCTGGTACAGTTGTTGATGCAGTTTATTGCTGTAGTCTTCAGTGATAGAATCTACCATATTAAGAAACTTTGCTTTACAGTGCTTTGTACCTAAAGCGAGAAATTATTTCTATTGCCCACAGACCATGATATAAGGTTTTTACACTCTAATAATTTTCAATCTCACTGTCGATCTTCACCAAACCTACATAATTATACTAAAAAGGCAATCAACCTCTCAAGGTTGGTGGACTCCAAGACCCTTCTTTATTTGTATGTGGGCATATGTATTGGTATGGCCAGGAAACTACCTCCTGAAGCATTCCCTTAGTAAAAAAGAGCCGAATTAGCTCAAGCTCACAGTTCATACTTCTGGTAAAACCTTGATCGAAATGGAACCCGGACATGTTGGTGAGGGGCAAAATCTGGGATAATATTCCTAGTGTCAGCATCACCATATCCGTCATGTACTATTGGGCCTTAGTGGCGGTGCTAGACAGGGAGCTTTCAAAACCTTGGCCGGCCTTCCCTCTAACTCTACTCATCCCCCTACCTTCCCTCTACACTTACACGTTTTCCCAATGGGGGTTGGGGAGTGGGGTTCTCATAACTCTCAGAACTGCTACTTTCCTGAGGCTATGAAACAGGAACAGCAGCTAGGAACGGGATCAATATCTTCGTAACTGCAAATAAAAAGTTTTTTATAGACATAATCTATATGGCGCCACTTGAAATTATAATAAGAGCCAAACTAGTAAGATATAAGTATGAATACTTGGTCTATCATGTATGTAACAAACAACCAAACATGTGCTCAAGGCTCATTTTACTTTGCCTAGGAATCAGAGTTTTTTATGCCTAAAACACCATAAATTTTCGACAACAATATAAATAAATACCATTTATATTTGTCAATTTCAGTATGGAAGGATTAATTCAACACAAAAAATGCGATATGAGGACATACTTGGTCGTACTAGTGAAGCTCTTCGTACGAAGACATTCCGTCATTACTAGCACTATCAGTTTGCAAAGTAAGGCCAAGAACGTCTTGAGGATGTGATTCAAACAATACAATTACAACACAATACTATGACAATAAATTACAACGCTTGTGCGCGATAATCAGGAAAATTGCTCTAAAAGGTTTGTTTTTCTGCCTAAGCCAATCAAAATCCGTATCTAGGGTAACCAAACACTCCGGAAGTGAGTTCTGCAGTCTTTTACCAAGAAACTGAAATGCTTTACCAAGAATTTGGTGTCCAAAGTTGGCCGAACACTTTCCGAGCACGAGAATCGCCATAATAGGCATAGATTATTTTGCAATTTCCCGAGACTGCTCCGAGCTATAGAATACAAGATGGTGATTCTTTTTGTATATTTGTCTTTATTATACGTTGAAAAGAAGCAAAGATACAAACATTTGAATCAGGCGGAACATTCAAAATGCAACAGCAAAATTGGTAATGCGTCATTTATAAATTTCACCGCATTGATCATTTCAAGGTAAGAAATTCGCTGGAAATTGAGCGAGAAACAATAAATTTATACGAATATTTCGGAATCAAGCGGCATTTTTTGGCGGTATTTTCGTATTTTTACTGCAAATACTCGCAGAGTTCTTTCATATTTAATCTTCCCGTCATATACGTCGGAAATCAATATTGGTGGATGGAATTAATACTGAAACAAACAGCGAAAAAAACATGTTCATTGAGAATAGAAATTGTTCAGAAAAGTTTGCCACGAAAGACAAATGAATTTGCAGTCAACAAGCACTTACTATACTACCAAACATCTGTATAATATATCTGAGCTTTTCTGTGAGATATACCAGTTCTAAAACCAGTCTTTCACTTCATCTTCGAGTTGTAAAACAAAACTTGAGTATTTCAAATTTTCAATTTCGGCCGAACAAATTGTTAAGAGATTGTAACAGAGGATAATTAACTATTGCTTCAGTTAATGGCTATTAGACTATATTATAAAACAATTATAGCATTCGCTCTCGTCGTATATGGCTGATAGCCGACTACTAAAACAAACAGAACATGTTACAATAAGCCAACTCTATTTATAGTGTCAATTTTAGCGCCCAATGGTCATATTGTAGCGCCCAATGGTCATATTGATACCCTAGTAAGCACACTGTACATTATCAAGACACTCAATGGATTGTGTTTTTCATCCATTGTTGTTTACATTACTTCTTTGCAACAGCTGATTTGACATTTGTGTCATTGTTTCAAATTGGTCTCTTACCTCAGCTTCAAATGCTATTTGATCTGTTTTCAATTAATTTTGGGTTGCATGTACTGTGCAATTAAGATGCAAAAATACTGATATGTTTAAGTTATTTAGCTCGGGTAAAATGCCATGTTCAGCACTGGACTCTAATAGAGTCAGGTGTACAGCAGGTGGAAAAGATTAAAATTTTTATTTCAAGCTCTTTACCCATTAGCGACTCTGTGACTTATATGCTTCCTGCTTTTCCTACTCGGCTGACTTCCGACATTGGAGGAACAAAAAGTTAAATGTTCTGAAATTAACACACAAAGGAAAAGCTCTTTATGACGATTTCCGGCCGAACTACTTGCAGATAATTAGGCATGACCCATCCTCATTCCCAGGACCTCACAGCCGTGCGCGACCTTCATGATCCTGGTCAAGAATTACTATCATGTGTGGCACCACCTACGTCAAATTTCTTTGGTCAAAGTAACTTCTCAATATTCTGCAGCAAGTTTATTTAATGAAATGCCAATTTAGACTACTCAAACACAAGTGAAGAATATCAAGTTAAAAACCCAGAAGAAAATCTTACCTTAAGTAATCAAATAAGAGAATTTCCTTCTCTTCTAGATTAAATGCTGATGCAAACACACTGGCCGGAAATCTATCTTGATACATCATTTGCTTTCCATCCAGCATTTATGGATATTTTCCCTGTCAATCCCAGCTCAGCCAAATTTGATTGCTTTGGACCACAGGTATTGGTATCTCATACAGGCCACTGGATAGCAAGATACATACAATGCCCTTTGTATATACAGTATCTTAGCTGGCTTGGGCTGACATGCTCCAGATCGTTTTCTTTTTCCACATCCAATTCCAACAACTGATGGAAGATAAAACTGTTCTGGAAGTAACATAAGCTTTTGATTACTATATTTCAGCTATTTTGTTTTAAAAGAGAACAATTATGGCCTTGAACTGTTTATGAATAAAAATGTGAAAGCATACAGGGTATATATAATTTCAAAGCCAAAAGGACTTAATTGATTACCACACTTAATTAATGGTGATCTCATTGATCACCACACTTAGTTAAAGCATGTATAAACCCATTAAGTGACATCACTTTCCCTTTAGTAAAATTGTCTGGTGTTAGACAATTAATCCCCGAGCCGATGGCGCGAAGCGCCGTGCGAGGGTACTAATTCCCCCTGGCTATTTACACCCAGGGAAAGGGAAGCATTAGCCAAGTCTAAAGTACATCAATGAGTGTGGGCGTCGGTCACCAACCGTGGGTGGTCATCCTCACTGATCTCAAAAATATGGCTGTTTGCCAGGAGTGGGATAAACAAGATTTCAATTTTCAAAAGCATATATTTGGAAAATCACGTTTCACACAATGAGCTTTGAAGCAATTTTTGTTTGAAGAAATGAGAAGAATTGATTTACTGTGGAAAATTGTGGAATATAGGGCAAGTTTGCTTTGAATGTTTAATGTTTATGAATTTTGTTGGGAAAGTTAACAATCCCATATCCCGTCCCGTGGGACAGTAAATCTGGAGTTAAAATAAATCGTTAAGAAATACGACAGTTCGTGTCCAATTTCCATCTTGGAAATGTAATTGACAAGTTCGCAACGAACTTGGGAACCGCGCGTGGAAAAGTGACTTGAAATTGACAATAACCAAGGTTTTCAGTAGCTATATTCATCCAAAGTGGTTTCTGAATATGTATACTTACCTGCAGAAAGATATAAAATGTAGGCTAGAAAATCTTTCACACTTCAACATGACAAAAACTTTAGATTTTCGTTTAATTTCTCCGCCACCTTTGACCATAACAACATCCTTTGTCGCTATTTGTGAAACGCTATGCAACCGCATACTTTGACTCTTTAGACTCTTTAGACTCTTTAGTCAGTTCACGAAGCATTTCGAGACTTTCAATGTGAACACACTAAGACAAAGCAGTGAAGTGTTCGCTGCACAGAATAAACTGGCTGAATGTAATACTTGTGACCTTGTATCAGCTTTTATTAGCGCGTTCGGAATTATTTTGGGGTTGATGACTCACATTGTTTGTTTGCTTGTCAAAAACAGAACATCAGAATCGGTTTTCGGAAGTGTCTGTTGAGAAGACACCTGCATACCAAAGGACAGTGGGCATTTTGTCTTGGTAGCAGTTATTGTCTTCCGAAATTAATTGCGCTGTCAAATCTCTATAACTATAGCTTAAGTATATAATATCTTGAATCCAATTGCTATTTTTATCTCTAGATTACAGACTGAGTCACAATTTCAGTTATATACGTTTTTTGTTGTGTTATATCATAGTTATGTCAGTTATATAGTCTATGTCCGCTTGTGTAAATTGCGGTGCAAGTTGAGCAATACGCCTTGGCTTTGTATTTAGGGGTGAATTACTCCAAAAATCCTCATAGATTTTGTGATAACTTGTAAGTCCCAAAAGGCAAAAAAGTCTCTAAACATCAAAATAACGGAAAATCCATTTCAAATCTCCAAAAATCCCGAAAAAAATTATATAAGAAGGGTTTCAGCTTTTGAACATTTGTGCAGCTACTGGTCGAAACGAATCTTCAACTGTAAGTGTAAATGTCTTTAGCGGCCCTTATTTCGGCTTTCCCATTGCACGCAATGAAATCCCATCCTGAAAAAGATAACCTAATATTCAGGTATTCCACATAGCTATAAAAGGGTGAAATAAGAACTTTCATCTTTGGTTGTTTGTCAGACGTGAGAAACCACATTAGTGCCATTTTGTCGCGCGTGCTATTTTATAAAATAAACACCTCAAAACCATAAACTTTTAGTTCAGAAAATTACAAAGTTTCCCATAGACATTATTAAAAATGTTCTAGTGAAGCGATTTCATGATAAATAAGTGAGCAATTGGCCCAAAAGAACTGCTAAGTTAGTTTTTGTTAGGACTTCAATTTCATGGCTTCCCACAAAGGAAGCCATTTCAGAGAGAAGCGACATTTTGCAAACAACCGTTGCGACCTATTTTGATAACTTTGCCTTCTGATTCAACATGTAGTTACTAGAAAATGATGTTGCATCAACATTATTATCTGCTTTATCGATTTAAAGTTTTATAGGGGATATAAAAAACAGTAAAAATGCATTTTGAAAGCTTTACAACTCAAGTGCAGACTTTTTGAGAATTCGCACGCGGCAAGCAAGCGCGTTTGTCCAATACACTTATTTTAAACCACAATATGTCTGAAACGAGTTGTCATTTTAAGACTAAATTGATGAAAATAGATATAACAGTGATTTTGGAATATCCTACTTATTTAGCGTAATTTAATACTCGAAGTATTCTTGCCAAAAAGGTCAAAAAAGGTCACGTACACACACAGCAGTAGTGTCGTTTGAAATATACTTTAGCTAAAATAACAACTTGAACAAGAAGACCAACAATGGGGTCACGAAAACAGTCGAAATTGCGCCCAAATTTGCATAAACAGTTCGTCTAAAAAGATAACTTTAAACTAGATTCAACCTTGTGAGTGCTTGATCGCATATTTCTACTCAAAAATACCCTTTAAAAAATCGTATCTGCTCACTTGAGTTCCGTGTTCATCTTTCTTGTGATTTCCGACTTCTATTTTTAATAAAGTTTGGAGAAATCCTCATCTTTTTGGCTGAAAATCTCGCGCATGGTTCACAGAAGAACTTGGCCCAAAACGTCAATACGTTCGCTTTCCTTTCATGCCAAATTTTTGTTGTAGATCATTCAAAAAACCTTTTCTTTTTTCTCTTTTAAAACTTGCTGTGAAATCCTTCTTTGCAACAATATCGCCATTATTCATTATTTTTGAAAAACTAAGGTTTTAAACTTGAAAAACTTTGCGAGTTTTTGGCCGATTTTCTTGCATGATACACGGTTGAAAAGCTCGAATTTCGCGTTCTATTTTCGTATCCGTTGCTAGGCAACCCGATAAACACGTGCTCAAATATCATGCCCGCAAGTTGAGGTGTCATTTGAGGGCATATGCGGGCGCATTGCCAGTTACCCACTTGCCAATCTCAGGGCGCATCCAGGCGCATTGCCAGTTAATGAGTTAAATATTTCGACTGAGGCTTCCTTCTTCTCACACACTTCTTGTAACGAAGTTCCTCCGGTTACCAGATCATCGACATACAACTCTTTCTTGATTTCTTCAGCATGCTTAGGGTACTTATCTTTACTCGCATTCAAATGACATTGTAATACTCCTGCCAACAGGAATGGTGATGGTCCCATGCCGAACAGTGCTCGAGTGAATCTCAGAGTGCAAATACGTTGAGGATCTTTATCTTCCAACCAGTGAAATCTCATTGCATCTCTATGTTCTGTCCGAATACGTACTTGAAGAAATGCCTTGCGAATGTCACCATTAAGTGCAACAGGATGGAAACGTCCTCGAACCAGAACTTTGAAAAGTTGATTCTGTAACGGTGGACCCGTGTTCAAACAGTCATTTAGGGATGGTTGGGGATCCTGTTTTCGAAGACGTATAGTAAACTATTCTCGTTTTTGTGGATTCTGAAGATTCGCGCACGACCAGATGATGAGGTAAATAGAACACAGTTCCAGTTGGTGGCTCATTTGCAGGTTCAACAATTCCTTCTTTCAGTTGAATAATTGAATAATTGAATTGTATTCATCGAATTTGTCAGTTTTCTTCAATCGCTGCACCAAGGTCCCCCCAAACGTTTAAAACTGTTCCCCTCATTTGAGGGCAAAGGTGGATGCCCTCCCTTCCAAGGGAGGCCAGTCTCATACCACCCATGTACAGGATCACGCCGAAGCTGTTCTAAAAACTCTTCATGTACAACTTTCTGGTCTCCAGATGGTGTGTCTTGAATACCGAGAACATCCATGCGACAAAGTTCCTCATAATCAGATTGAGCAGTTTGAGCAAGAAACATATTGTCTAAATTGGGCTGAACTCCTGGCGACATAATTGACCAGCTAAACTGAGTGAACTCTGCCACAGGGTCCCCCATTTCACCGGTTCTTTGTGGTTCACTAGTCTTGATCCTTGAATATTCTGCTGCCCCCAATATGAGGTGTACTGGAAGGACTGATTTGGTATCCGTTTCCACCATATTCATACCTTGTAGGTGTTGGAACCGACTAATCAACTCTGGGTAATTTGGATTCACAACTGACAAGAGAGTTCTGTGGTCAACTTTTGTTACATTCACTGGGATAACAAAGTTTCCTTCTGTGTTGCTAACTTCAAGATTGTAGATTTCAACATGCTTCGTTATTGTCCCTGTGATGGTTTGAATACACCGTGTCAAGGTATTAGATTGATTGATCTTCATTAGGCTGAGAAGATATGCAGATGCATACGATGTCATCGCTCCTGTGTCCAGTAGTGCTCTACAGGTAATGCCATTTGCTTTGACAATAACAATGGGGTGACAAACCTTTTGCTCTTCGTGTGTTGCTGTCATAGCTGCTTGTCCTGGAATTTGGTTATGTGGAGGTTTCTCTAAAGTGTCACAAATTGAAGAATGATGTTTTTTCTTGCAGTGAAAACAGGTAACTCGACTTCGACACTGTGCTGCATGGTGTCTGCCACCCGTACAATTAAAACATAACTTCTTTGCTTGTAGCTTTCGTTTACGCTCAGTTGGTGTAGCAACCTTCTTACATTCATACGACTTGTGCTGTTCGTCATCACAGTAAACACAACCCTTTGGTGTTGAGGAATCTTTGGAGAAGAACGAATGGTTGCGGTTGTAGGGGGTCCTAGGGTTATGTTCGCTTGATCTTTCCACCGAGTGTATTGCTTTCCAATTTTCCAGAGCTTTTAATAAATCAGGAAATCCCCAATCTTGCCATCCAACCTGATTTGTGACCAACTCGGCCTTAATACCAGGTAATTTCTCTATAACACCCCGTACCATTGACAAACTCTGCGATAGTTTACCCAATGTTTCTAACGATTGTACATTGTAGCTCAGGTTCTTAATAAATTCATGTATCTTGTTTACTTTCCTGCCAGTTATTGTAGGCAACTCTTGAATGTTTTTTTTACATATGCCCTAACAATTTCACTTGTATTCCCATGATTAGTTTTCAAAATGTTTTTAGCACGGGTGTACCCCTCCACAGTAAAGGGTAGCCCATCAATCTCATCACACACATGGGGCTCTAATAGTTCCTTTAGGTAAGAGAACTTGGTTACAGCTGGGAGGTCTGTATATTGGCTCATATTATGGATTTGGCTCATATTATGGATTTAGCTTGCAATGTAGTTTGGATCCTGGATTGTGACTTCGAAGTAGAGCTTTTAGCGGATTCAAATTTAGATAAGACCATTGTCGGATCGCAGATTTTGCTTCAAATTTGGGTGGATCGGCGGATTTGTATACCCCTATTCACCCCCCCCTGTGAGAATAATATGTCAGCTGCAAATAACTGGTGCAAATATAACTGGTGCAAATAATGGTCTGAGCATGCACACTTTTGAAATCTATCTTAATTAATTGCAAAATATCGATTTATGCATGCACATTTAAAGATTGGGTACAGTCTGGTCTGCGCATGCGCACATAGGAGTCTCCTGCCATGATATAAACACTTTAATTAGGTTTTTATTTCATTTTATGTTCTTGATCATTTATTACACTGTAGAAGCATGAAAATATAAATAGTTGTTGAATAAAGTTCAATATTTAGAATTCCGAAATGTAAACAAAGACTTTGTTTACAACGAACTATACCCTACCTTTAAGATTTTTGAAAAGCAATTCAAATAAACCCAAAAGTAAACATGACTTGTTAAAATTTCAGATTATTGTTTTTGTACAGATTTGTTGATCTTCATGATGGTCACAAAATTTCGAAAATGACTACGTAAATGACAAAGCAATTATTAAAATTAAACTTGGTTTTTCCAAAATATCGCGACTTGCCAGTGGCTTGCAGGCCAATTTAATATTTCCCTCTGCCTTCGGCAAATCACCAATCATGTTACTTGCTCATTACAACTTCGTCCAATAATTGTATATTAACGGTTTGCTTTTTCAATAGGATTGAGTATAATTCAGAATGGAAAAATTCCCAGATTCCTCAGTGAAGGCATCCAAAATAAAGTTTTTTCTTCTGAACCTTCATCTGAGGCATGCATTGTCGAGCTGCAAGGTTTTAAGAAAGTTGGAATCTACCAAGTTAGTTGTGGTGTTTCAAAAACGAACACCTACGAAAATGAAGACCGAAGGCTAAGATCTTCGGTCTTCGTAATTAAGAAAACAAGGAGTTTACGTGTTTTCGTAGTACGTGTTTTTAAGAAAATAAGCGTAAAAATGTCGTGAAATTAAATATAAGGGCCAAGGCAAATTATATAATATATAACTTAATGTTTATATTTAGTAGTTACGTATTACCTATCAGTTCTATTACTGAGTACTTACATACAGAGGTCTCACTTCTGAGGGAAAACCCTAAGGTAGTTTCCACCAAAATAGTTGGCAGTCATGTTCTCAGCAAGTGCCATAAAGAGGTCCTGGAAAATTAAATTTCAATATGTTTTCAGGGGATTGACCGCCTCTCATTAGGGCACTTCATAAGAATATGGCGTACTCTCATAAAAACATACCGTAAAAAAAAGTTTTAAAAGAACGTAAACAGATGCATACTGGTTAAAATAAACAGCAGCTTTGGCTTTTTCTTTTTAAAAGAAGGTAAACAGATTTATACTGGTTAAAATAAACAGCAGCTTTGGCTTTTTCTCAAAAAGTAGGGTATTGATGGATAATTTGTGTAAAAATTGGCAGGAGCCTTATGTATAATTTGGGTAAAAATTGGCAGCTCAGTAATATTCGTATCAATAATATTTTGCGGCTATTGATTCACTATTGAAAACCTTCTATTTATAGCTTGGTTGTCTACTTCCAAGTTTTTTGGATATCTTCTGGATATCTTCAAGCATCCACCGTACACTTTAACCGTCAGAAGTTTGGTTGGTTTGTTGAACCCAAGATTTAGCGACGAAGGTTCTAATCAGAGAAGATTTGAGAATGAAGTTTATAGACAATTTCTGGTGTATATAAGACTAGTTGCCTGTAAGTGATCACTGTAACTTTGGATTAATTATCGTGTTCTAACAGTTACTTTGATATCAAGAGACATCAAGATGCAAGGGACTCTCATGAAAAAAATAATAGTGTAGCATTAAGCCTTGGGCTCAGGATGAGAGTCAAAAGATCCTGGTTAACTCACTGTTCTTAATGCTTTACCAATACTATCATGTATTTTATTGAAGTTAAAACATATTTGATAATTTTAGCACTTTTGTAACTCGGCTACAATGCCATGACTGACAAGCTTGTTGCAGTAGTGGCTTTGGGATAATGTTTGGTATACAGTTGTTTTATTACAGCAATTTATTATTTGTTTATTCATTTCTAATCCTAGGTGCAAGAAGGGGTGTAATTAGCTTGGCCCACATATTCATGTTTACAACGTGTGCTGATGAAGAGCCTGTTCTAGGCTTTACAATACAACCAAGCATCACCTTTGCAGAAGTGGAAGAAAGTATGGTGTCCCATGTCCGCCAAAAATCAACTTTTGCGTTTCACTATATGATATTTTGAGGATCATATTCATTTCATTAAAATAACAACATTGTTTTTGAAGATCACCGGTTTATTGGTTGAAAACACAACTTATTTTTTGAAGACCAACTTTTGAAGACCAACTTTTGAAGACCAACTTTTGAAGACCAACTTTTGATACCCAACCGCAATCCAATGTCTTTGTTGTTCGCGGGCTCATTTATTATGTTTTCAAAATGGAGGAAGAAGACAAACAATACTTGCTACAGGCGATTTTTGATGTGATAAATTCCATCGACCGTTTTTCACAGTCTCGAGACGCTAATGTAGACTACACAAGAGCTTATGCTGAAACTTGATTTTTTACAACGGTTGCTAGTAAATATGAATCTTGATTATTCGATATGTGCAAACGTTGGAGAGGCATATAACATTCTTTTCAATATGGAACAAATGGAATACCAATGCAGACAATAGGATATCCGAAGGGGGTAGGGGGGTTAACTTCTAATTTCCTCCGTGAGGGTGGTATGGATGTTTTCTGGAATGACCCATTGGTAAACAGAGAAAAACAGGATAATGTATTGTCCTAGAACATAGATATCCTAATATATTACACACAGTCAGGTTTTAGCAGCGCCGTAGCAAGCTCGATAATTGGGGAGGGGGGGGCTGATATTCATATATTTGTGTTCACAGACCATAAAAACAATTGATTTCTAAAGAAATAATAACACAGAACATGAATATATGAATATCAGCCCCCCCCCAATTAGGGAACTTTAGATTTGACTACGAGTACGACTACGAGTACGAGATTTGATCGCGTGCGAGGAAATTACCGTAGTCGTTTTCGTTTCCATTCAAATGTTGCTTTTATAGCAGTAAACCAACATCGAGAGAAAAAGTTTCATAAACTAAATCTCCTGCAGACTAAAATCCCCTACAAAACGTGTAAACAAATCATAACATTAAAAACAGGCCAGATATTTAGTACTAATATATTATTTGCGCCGGATAAACGCTATATAAATGCTACAAATTATTTTTGGAAAACAAAAAAAAAGCCAACTTTCTTTGTTTTTTTGAAAAGTCGTCGTGAGGACTACGAGGTTTCTCCACAATTTCGTACTCAGATGGGCGACGGCTACGACTTTTTCGTGTCAGTACGGGATGGCGTAAGCATACAGCATACGTTTAGCTTGACGAATCTCGTACTCGTAGTCGTATTCGTAGTCAAATCTAAAGCTCCCTATTATCGAGCTTGCTACGGCACTGTTTATGAGTCCAAATGGTACACAGGACATTAAAAACCTGCACAAGCTTTCCCCCTGCCCCCCCCCTCCCTAAAAGTTGATGTCTGCTGCCACTGCTCGAAATATGTTCTCCTTTTGGAGGATGTGAAGGAGTGGATATTAAAGTTATAAATGTTTATGTAATCTACTCCTTCACATCTTACAAAAGGAGAAAATCGCAACTAAAATTCTAAAATTGCATGTAATGTTAGAAAATGGAGGGGTATTCTGCAATCTAACCTGATCACAAGTAAAATATTATACGAGCCGCCAACACCAAG